AAAAAGTCTTATAAAATTGTCTTCTGATTATTTTATAAGTATCGCTTAAGTATGTTGCAAAAGTGCAGTGAGAGAAGTCTTTACAAAACTACATTTATATAGGAGTGTTAGAAAAATTTTATAGTAACTGCCGAAATGTTTATAAAACTATTTTATAGTGTTTGTAAAAGGCCTTACAAAATATTGAAAAAGACTATAATGTTTTATAAAACGGTGCACATTGAAAACATTTCTGGGAGAAATGCAGTTTTATAATTTGTTTTACCGAAACTTTTCCGCAACTATTGTAAAATACGAAATTGCTAGTTGGGATACTAATGAAATCAAACTGTTGCAACATCATAAAATTATAAAACAACTTTGTTAGTTGGGGTGGATGCGGAAGTGATTGTTGTCGCTGTTGAGGGTTTTTCTCTTTTCAACACAATTTTTTTAATCTATTTTCTTCAAACTAACTATGGTTTCTTCAGTCAAAATGTTATATCCCACAAACTGATAGTCCGACAGCTGTGAAAATTGTACACGTATCTTTGAAGGTTAGGGTTGATTCAAAATCATATGGAGTTCATACTAGTAGCGTCATCTGTGTGTTAGCCTACGAACTCTCCAGCCCATCTAGTAGTAAAGAGTATTATAATCAGCAGAGAAATGTAAAAAGGCACCTACTATTTTCAGAACAACAGAGAAACAATTCAAATTGGAGTTCCAGCCAAACCTTCTGATTTAGCCGCCTCCATCAAGGAAAATACCTCGCAAGTATCGGCTACTGATTCATCCAGCAAATCTCAAAGTTCACAAGATCAAGTATCCAACAGTCAAACCAGCCAGAAACAAGTTGTGACAAATCACAACCAAGAAATTGTACACAACCAAGTCAATCAAAAACAAGAAAGGGAAAACAAAAAAGAGTCATCTGTGGTTTCAGTGGTCACAACAAAAAGGGAGATCAGTAAAACCCAAGTAGTAAACAACAAAAACCAGGCTGTTGTAAACGATGCTCAGCAAACCTCCAAGGCCCAAAATATTCAGGATGTCTCTGGTGACAATTCAGTACCTATTATCGGAGACAGATACGGTGAAAGCGATGTGTCAGTGAATCAAGTGATTGTACCTGAGGTGGTATCAGAAAATAATGCCCAATCTTCACAAGTTAGCACTGTTCAAGGAACTTCGAACTCGAATTCAGATCTGTCTGTCACTCTTAGCGAAGATCTACTTAAACAGTTGATAGAATGGGCCCAAGTAAATTCTGGAAGTGTGAGTGAAGGCCAAGTGAACTCTGTGGTACAGGTTCCCACTGTTCCAACGCCAGTACTTGCCACTACAACCCCATCCGTTTCTTCAGCCCTTAACTTTCATGATACCAACTCTGGATCTATTTCTTCACAAGTGACGAATCTTCAAAAACAGGCTTACAATGAAGCAGAAGAGAGAAGGATGGCACAAAACGCTAGATACGAATTCGCTTCTTTGGTGAAGAACGAAATCGCAGGTAACTTCCAAGAGAGAGCCGAGATCAGAGAAGGAACGAAAGTCTATGGCAAATATTCCTATGACGATAGCTTTCAGTTCAGAACTGTGTACTACGAAGCAGATGAAAATGGTTATAGAGTAATAAAGTGAGTACTATTAAAATTGATACTTCTGAAAAAACTGGGTGCAACTCAATTTCCAAATTCAGAGCTGGTCGCATTTTCGAACGTTTGTTTCATTTTGTTTTCAGGGAAGTCGTCAGCAAATCAAAAATGACAAAAAATCCAGAGGGTGTTGTTGATGTCCGATCCCTCAACAATGGCCACAGACTGAATTACCGCATTACGAAGAAAGACATCCCTGAAACTTCCCAAAAAAGGAATCGTAAGACTGGAGTGAGAGTGTAGAATATGAAATATGAATTTTGAAATTGTTATTCTATTCATTACAAAGTAAAATGATTTTTTTAATGATACATATGCCTTTGTTTTTCATTTATAATTTTCTTGTGCCATGTATTTTTGATATAAAATATACTCTATTACCAGTTTGGATACAAAAAATGCAGTGAACTTGTAGTGGAACTTTAGAAGAAGGCTCTTTTCAAAATCCCGCTGGGTTTAGGTTGGAGCTGGGTTCAACAGAGAGATACCAGAATTGAGAGATTCAAAAACAAAGTTTATTCTTTTTGTTCGAATATAACAATGCTAGAACAATAGAACTTTTCGTTGATAGAATATAAACAAGATTTAAACAGACTAGACTCACCTAGAACCAGGTAACAACTTAATATTTTAATAAAAATATCCAGGTTTACACACCCTGAGGCTTCTAACATTATATATTCAATGGACCAAAAGAATTCCTAATCTCATTCCTGATCGAGGCACACGTTTTTCAGAGTTGGTGGTTTTTTATAACTCTCAGAACTGAAGATTTTCGTACCTTTTGATTCTCCTACTGACATCTCTAGGCGAAAGGCGCAACTCTCCCAATTCTGGTTAGAGTTCTATGATAATTATTGATAGATTATAAATCATGCCAAGAGGTATATTGTTCCATTACAAACTTGACTTTCCATTCTGCAAATCAACAATACAATCTGCAATTACATTACAACAATCTGCAAATCTGAATTATACCAACTACTACAATTAGGAACCCTTATTGAAGCAATACTACTTTTCACCACTCGAATTCTGAAACAAAAAATTTGATTTGTTCACTAAATGTTGTGAACAAATGCATTTTGAACTGTATTTCTTTCATATAAAAAAACTAACAATTAAAAATAGCTATATACAGTAGATATGCTATGAGAGAACTAGGACTGAAATGGCCGTAGTCCCATGTAAATCTCCATAGGAGATAAAATAATAAAAAAAAATGTGAACGGATTCGTTGAAAACAGGGATAATGATGGTGTAGATAATGCACTGAAAATTGAAAAATAATTCGAAAGGTCCTAGGTAGTAGTCATCACACCACTGTCCTCAGCAATCTACGGTACTGACCTCAAAAAATTATAATAAAATCGTTGTGCGTATCGTAACCTGAGTAAACATGTAAATACTACGCCCAACAATTTTATCATTATTTTTAACTGATCGTATATGGCTGTGGAGAGTGGTGTGGTGACTGCTACCTAGGACCTTCCAAATTATTTTTTAATTTTTAGTACATTATCTACATCATTATTATCTTTCTTTTTACACTAAAACCATTTAACATATTGTTTTACTTATTTTATTTTGAAATTTTTAGTTTTTTATTTATATCCACCCTAATACCACACAGTTCTTGGCACGTTTCAACCTTTCACCTTAGTTTTTTATTTATATCTACCCTAATGCCACACAGTTTCACACCTTTTACCTTAACTTGGGTGGTGTATCTATATCTATATCTGAAAAAAATATATCTATCGCTAACGACGTATCATTTTTATCCTTCCTAACGCCACACAGTCCTCGATACGATACGATCACCTGAAGACGATTGTGGATATTAACAATCGAAACGTCGTGAACCAACGTGGCTTCAAATCTCTTAATTTTTTTAAAAAAGTCACTAGAGTTGCCAAAAGTCACTAGATTTGTCCAAAATGTTACTAGATTTCTTCCAAAAGTCCTTAGATTCTTTCAAAGACTCAATAGATTTTTCCCCAGAAATAGCTACAATTTTAATGAGATTCACATATTTCTTGACGCGACTTAACCTATAGCGAACATACATATTTTATCCATGATTTCAACAAGGCATGTGTTCACGACTATGACTGTGTTCCCGTGTTATGACTGTGTTATGACTAGGTTCAGAACCATTCTATTGTTTCAAAGATATCATGTTTTCATCGAGACGAAATGATCTTTGCCAATTCTCCAGTGACGGATTCGGAAGAAATTCTAGACAAACACCACATTAATAAACAATGGAAGAAACAAAAATAAATTTTCTTTTCGACTGTTTTTTTTACTGTACGTCTGACTTGCTGTATAAATGTATGCCGTGAAGGAAGATGAGTTCTCACATTATCACTTTGAAAGTGAACATTCCTACAGGGCGACACAATGAAAACTAGCAACAGCTATTAACTTTCAAGTGACAAAAGAATCAAAAATTTAAAACTGCACTTAGAAATTTCTAAAGTTACGCGTTTGAGGGCATATGATTTGATTGATAAGCATCTAATGACGTCTTTCTAAGCTCTTGAAATATTTTATTGATTGCCGTATATTTGAAACATACTTGAAATCGGTACATACACCCACCTATCAACGATAGTTGGGTGGACGAGAGCTATTTCCCTATTACCAATATTAATTTTATTGATCTCAAGAAAAATCACATATTTATAGTAGGGACCATGTAACATACAAATTGAAAAAACCAACAAACCAAAAAACAAACAAAAATATGTAAAAGTAGAAAATTGTCAATGTATTTCAAAATATATCTTTTCAGTTGTGTCTTGAATTTTGTATGATTCAATTCTTTTTATATTGTTAGGTATTTCATTAGATAAATTAATTTCATCATGAAAAATACATTTTTGAACGAAATTGCTTTTGTGTGGTTGTGAAACTATATTTCATGTATTATGATTATGAAATGAAATGATTTCGTCGAAACATAGTTTTTATCATTCTCAACATTATGAATAATCATGCATATTTTGAAATGGTATATTTCTCCAATATCAAATAATTTTCTAGGTTTATACAGATTGATAGTTCTCTCTCTCTCTGATTCTGCTTATATATACATTTCATGACTTTATTTTGCAACCGTAGTAAAAGTTTCAAATAAGAGGAATCATCTGTTGCCCAAACTAACGTAAGATATTGAAGATTCGAATAAATTGAAGAAAAATAAATTGTTTTCAATATTTGAAAAAAATAATATTTTTTTTTGTCCTGGATATAGTTATATTTATCAAAATTCAAATGTAACTCATGATACAGAAAAATGTTTGAATATAAAGTTGTAGAGATTAATGAAAGCTATGTTTCAATAATTATTACTAATATTCAGGGTGTCCAAAATTCGTGTGACAGAACATACTTTTTTTTTTAAATAGAATACTCCAGATATTTTCACTCGATTGAATTTCTTGGGGAGAGTGCTTTTCAAAAATACAGGGTTGTTTGGGTTTATACCAGGTGGTTAGTGTTATATTTATACCAAAAAAGGGTTCATTCAACACCAAATATCTCCTACTCGATCAAATAGAATGAGGAAAAGTTTTAACCAAATATCTTTGAGGATAATGTATTTTCAATCATGAGTTTATCGAGCGGTGCTTTTTCTATACAGGAGCAAACAAAACTCGGGATCACTTTTTTCTCAGTTTTTTCAAATAGAACACCCTGTACATAGGGTCATCCCAGAATGATCCACATTATGTGCTTTCAGAAAATGTAGAGATTGACTAGTTCATTTCTATCGGAGATGTATCTAATTCTTGAAGAAAGTATGAAAAAGTCATTAATTGTTCTATTACAATCTTCAATTGGCGTATTTTTGATCGCGACTACAGGCTGACCTTAAATGATACTCTAACCGCGCCCTTTCTATCCTCTATTTTGAAAACGATTCAACGTATAAAAATTTTATTTCAAACAAAAGTTGAAGCGAATTTAATCCTCTGCAATATTGATAATACAAATAGCGAGAAACTACAGGAAACGAGATATTTGCAAAAAATATGCAAAAGATCGATTTTTGTGACTTTTCACTTTAGATTTCAATAGTCGCGTACACTCTACCACATGTAGGTTTTGAGACATCTTTTAGGATTTCAAAATACAAGTTAATACGAGTTCATAGCTGGGTATCTCAAATTCTGCGGTGACTACGTTGTCCAATAGAACCTGAAATACCAAACATTTCGTCTGCTGCGGACATCATTAGTAGTATGTGCATTTACTGCAAGGACGAAGGTTATATCTCGAATTCTCAACAAAGACAGTCGTTCTCTTTAATCATTTGTTGATTGAAATAATTTATTGAATTATATAAAGAATCCGATACTGCTTCTGTGAATCAACAAACATCTGGCCTATTTAACGGCAAAAATTGCAATGAACAGTAAGTACCTACATTTCTTGGCAATGAAGCAACGGGTAAAAATGCCGTTATTGCCTCGATGTGAAGTTCAACTTTTGTTTTCGTCTTTTTAGTGCCTTCAGTATCAGATCGATCGGTAGATAGCCGTTATAAGAACCTTTGGTAACGACCGATATCTCATTTTTGATTACAATTCTTACGAGTGTGTGTAAACTTGAACATCAAACGTGAGCTGCTTGCTTACCAATTCATGAATCATTGTTGAATTATTGGTAACTATTTTTGTTACACTTTAGAAATGTTCGTATTGGTAAAGAAACTGATTTGTGTATCACTGATTCTAACAACTTTATCCCGTCTCACCGATGGAGATGGAGAAAAACGCTCGACAAGAAGAGGAAAACTGTTTTTTCCAGTCACCTATCAACCTCACAGGGATGATAGTATTTATGGTACGTACGACATCTATACAGTGCATTTCTTTAATATTCCCCCTCTTTTATTTTTTGAACGGGAAGATGAAATTTAGGATAATGAAATTAATGCATGAATTTTTTATTTTCAAGTGAAATTGACAGATGAAACTTTCAAGATGGCGACTGGGCTCCATCTTGGAGAAAAAATTAAAAGGAAACGGGGGGTCTTGTGACACATCTTTTTGAAGCTCCTGACGAATGCTTCACAACTCCATAATTCAATGTCAATATCTTCAACTACTACAAAATGGCGAAACTTTTAATAACTGCCTAAATACATTTAACATACATAATACATAATATGAGGTAATAAGCTTGAGGTCAGTTCAGAAGATGCTCAAAATGGTATCCTTGAACTTCTTCACATATGAACAGTCTATCCGATATTTCACGCTGAACATTTTCGAACACAGTAACGTCAATATCTCTACTAATATTTATTATTCTCTGCCGTATATCCAATATTGAAGCAGGTTCAGTTTCGTACACCTTTTGCTTCAAATAGCCCTATAAAAAAAGTCCAAAGGTGTCAAATCTGTCGAGCAGGCTGGCCATTCTGTGGGACCACGACGGCCAATCCAACGACCGGAAAAAGTAGTATCCAAATAGTTTCTTACTTGTCTGGAGTGATGTGCTGGTGCTCCATCTTGTTGGAATACAATATCCATATCGAATTCATTAGGATTCGCTGCGACGATTTCAGTGATGAGAGGGTCAACAGTAATTTCCAGCATATTGAAATACAGTTCCCCTGTTTCCCTGTACAGTTTTCCTCTATTGTTTTGATCGATAAATAGAGAGGAACTCTCTATTTATCGATCTACGATATGGTTTCCCGAAATTCCTGGCCAAACGTTAATTTTTTCTGGATATTGGGTGTGTGTTTCCCGGGAAACGTGAGGGTTGGTGTCACTCCAATAACGGCAATTTTGTCTGTGAACATTGCCGTCACTAAAACAAATATAGGGGAGATAGGTAGGATGCCTTGCAATGGTTTCCGTCATAATTTCGCAGAATTATGTTCTTCGATCAGGGTCATCTTCAGTTAATTGTTGTACCATTTTAGTTTTGTATGGATGACATCTATTCTTCTTCAAAAATCTCCACACAGTAGAAGAAGACACCTCACAAAAATTCGCGAGGAATAAGTAGACTGTTCAGGATTTACTACCATCACACCAATTTTTTTTTTGGTTTAAAGGCGTCGACTACGAAGTCATTGGCCTTCTACTATCAGTTCAACATTTGCTTTCTTCTTAAAATTTTTGAGTATAGCCCAATAGCTTTCATAAATTTTATAATTCTCTCCAGACTTCGATTATGATCTTTCGAAAATTCCTTCATAGAATTTGGTATTTCAAATCGTTGTCTAGCTTCATCATATTGGACACAATTTAGCAAGATGTGTTTCACTGTTAGCGTCTGTCCACATTGTTGGCATATTGGTTGTTGTTCTCCTGAGAGCATGAATATGTTATATAAGTTGGTATGACCTATTCTCAAGCGTGTAATCACAGTTTGTTCTCCTCGTGTCTTTGGAATATAATGCCTCCAGGGTGTGATTTTTGGGTTCACATCTTTTCAATTGTGTTTGTCTTCAGGAAATTATTGAATGTTCCGCCATTTTGTAGTAGGTGAAGATATTGACTTCATATACTAGGGTTGTGAAGTATTCGTCAGGAGCTTCAAAATGATGTATCACAAAATCCCCCTTTCCTTATAATTTTTTTTCTCAGATGGCGTCCATCCGAGTTGACCCATTAAAAAAATAAAAGGGGGGACATTGAAGAAATGCACTGTATATTATAAAACTCTCCTCGTCCGACTATATGAACTCAATAAACTAAAAACTACTTATTGTTTTGAACAACAGACACAACTGTTCAAAAAGATTCATGCATTTATGGTCCATTGAATAGTTACATTCAGAATTACGTTTTTTAGAGGACGCAATTCCAATTTTATGTGCATGGAGGAGATCAATATAAGCTGAAGTGGGGTCGCAACCTTTTTCACCCGGCCCCATTTTGGAAAAAGGGATACAAGGGGGTTTCCCGCTGTATCTCGTGATCTAGCAAACCCACAGAAAATTTCATAAGGTATTATTTGTAGTAAATTGAATTGTCTACAACTTTATTTCTATTACTTTTCATCGTAAAACTGAAAATAAAAAAAATGATAAACAAAAATAACTGAAAATTCTTGAACAAATTTCCTTTTGACCGTAATAGCTTTTTTTCTGGTAATTTCACAATAAAATGACATCAGAGAGGTTTGAAAGTGGTTTCATTGATTCAGACTTCCATTGTCTGATTCTACCATGATTCGAAATCTACGGAAGAACAAACGAAATTAGAATAAATAGCTAAAATATCATTTATATCAAAAAATGAAACCTGAAATGAAACGAATAAAATATTCAATATACAAAATGAAAATGACTACAGAGTGAAAAGAAAGGAAAAATAATAAACATATTAATAAGCAAAAAATTAAAAATAATAAATTTCCAAGAAACTTGGTTTAAAATCTTTTTTAATTTAATTTTTTGCTTATTTTTATTTTTTTTTTCATTTCGT